GTGTGAGCATGACGCCATTCTTCGACGGATAACCATCTTTCTTTCGATTTTCCACTCAATCTCCCTGCAATTGTATATATCTTTTAATGAGAACTGCAAAATGGTTAATTAAATTTATATATACGTATATATATTTTTGGAAAATACAATAAATTTAAAATTACCTATTTGGTTGAATATAGTCGGGATATCACAACCATCAACTTGATTAAATTGAAACATCATCTCATCTTCATCCCCATACCGAGAAGAACTCTTGGCTTTTGTCTTGATATGTGGCTCAAAATAGAAATTTGTGAAGTACGTAATATCTTCGTTAACATACTGCTTCACGATTGCCCCTTCCGGTTTGTTCTTGTTTTTCACCACCTCCAATAAGGCAAATCCCAGATTATGCTTCTTTTGTACCAATTATGTGTTTCTCCATATTCACATGGTTTGCGATGACCATTTCCACCACAATCAATGGTTTTATCCAAACCATGAATGCTTTCAATCCGCTCCCACAATATCTCTTCGCCCGTCAAAAGAAGAGGAGGTGAATCTGTCACAATCTTATTCTTCCTGAAATTTATTTTGTTCCGTCTCCATGGATGATCTAGCGATAGAAACCTGCGATGATAGTCAAACCAACATGATTTCCTTCCATGTCTCAACTGAAATGATTGTATATCGTCCATACAATACGGACATGCCAATCTTCCATGAGTACTCCATCCCGATAACATTCCATAAGCCGGAAAATCGCTTATAGTCCACATCAAAACAGCCTTCAACCTGAAATTCTCTTTCTGTGAGGCATCGTATGCATCAATTCCACAATGCCACGACTCAAGTAATTCTTCGATCAAAGGCTGAAGAAAAATGTCAAAACTTTTCTTCGGATGCTCCGGTCCCGGAATCAAAACCGTCAAGAACAAGAACTCTTTTTTCAGACACATATCTGGAGGTAAGTTATAAGGAGACATAACAATAGGCCACAGCGAATATTGTTTGCCCGATTGACCATACGGTGCAAACCCATCTGTGCATAAACATAGATAAACATTTCTATGTTCTGATGCAAAGTTCGGATATACCTCGTTAAAATTCTTCCATGCATCACCGTCAGATGGATGACTCATGTTCTCAGGATCTGATGTATGTTCAGCATGCCACCGCATATGTGAAGCTAATTGATGAGATTCATACAATCTTCGCAGACGATCTTTAATCGGTAGATAAAACATCCTTTTGTAAGGAACACGGTTGCGTTGACCAGATTTTTTCGCCTTGTATCTTTCAGCTCCACAAAATCGACAGTTGTCCAACTGGTTAGATTCTTTCCAAAATATCATACAGTTGTTAGGACATACATCGATTTTTATCGATTCCATTCCCAACGATCCCATCAGTTTAGACATATCATAATACGAATCTGGAGCATTATTACCTTGGGGAAGATAATCATTCAGCATCTGACAAACTTCATTCATGCAGTTCTCTGTAAGATTATAACTCGTCTTCATCCCCATCAATCTAGCAGAAGCCGATAGTTGAGAAAGCCCTTCTTTACAACCATCATAAATAGGTTGGTTTGCAGCCTCTAATAGATCGAAAAACTTTTTCGATGCCTCATTCATCGGATCTTCTGTAACCTGATCATTATATTGAGATGGAAATGCATCTTGAACCATCTCAATATATGAATTTGGCTGATCATAGACATCAGTATTTCTCACAGATATATTCTCATCAGAAATTTGAAACGTCTCACCATGATAAACCCAGACGTAATAGTTAGAGACAAAACCTTTTTTCCATAGATGTCTCATCACAACTTCTGGAACTTCTTCCCTCTCGTTTTTACATCTTCGGCACGGACAATATATCTTTCCTCTCTGAAGAAAAATATGTTGATTTGTTGCAAACTCCAAAAAATTAGTCAATCCTTCTTCGTAATGCGTAGATACATTACCCGTAGAAGGATTTACTCTTTCGTACATCCATTTTCTTGAGTAATAAATATTGTTATTACTCGATGCCATTTTTTGAATTTTTTTTTTCGGGTGCAAGAGTGTATGAGTGTGGCGTGTGGTTTAAAGGAAATAGAGTGACGCAATTGCGTCACTAAATAAAAAAAATAGTGACACAATTTCGTCACTATTAATGACGCAATTTCGTCACAAAAGTTTTTGTGACGAAATTGCGTCAGTATAATATAATGACGCAATTGCGTCACCAAATGGTGACGAAAGGGTGACGAACGGGTGACGATATTTCCGCGCGTTATTTGGCGACGCAATTTTGCGTCATCACTGCGTCACCATTGGGTGACGCTGTAGATTGCGTCACAAAAGCGTCACTATTTAGTGACGCTC